TTTTCGTCCTTATTTTCATACTATTCCGTCTAGTCAGACAGTCATGAGACCGACCGTATTATTACTAATTTAGATAGTCTATCAAAAAACCACAGCCCTTAAAACGTTGCTTGTTCTAAATAACAATTTAATGTTAAATCACTTTTTGCTGGACAATAAATATAAACGTATTTTACTTACCTTAAAGCGCAAACTTTGTTTCCAAAGTGTGATTTAACAATTCAGAAAATTATTATTTTCAAGTATATTGTTTGAGCTACTGCTTTCCAGAGATATGATGCTTTGCATGTGAGACAGAACATTTATCTATATCAAGAATCAAGTTAGCTTCCCGCCAAGATAAAAGCTCTCGAATAGATTGAAAACCGAAAATCTTGTAGTAACTAAAATAGATTTATGGATATCATCGTGTTTGGAAAGGAATGATACATTTGAATTTTCTGCGACTTTTCTTGTTAATCTTAAATCATATAACTATAATGAAAAAAGAATATTGATTTACGTAACACTATTATTGTGAAACATAATGGTATTATTGTGAAACACAATGGTATTATTATTGTGAAACACAATGGTATTATTGTGAAACAAAATGATATTATTGTGAAACATAATGGTATTATTGTGAAACATAATGGTATTATTGTGAAACACAATGTTATTATTGTGAAACGTAATGGTATTATTGTGAAACACAATGGTATTATTATTGTGAAACACAATGGTATTATTGTGAAACAAAATGATATTATTGTGAAACATAATGGTATTATTGTGAAACACAATGGTATTATTGTGAAACATAATGGTATTATTGTGAAACACAATGTTATTATTGTGAAACATAATAGTATTATTGCTTTACACTTAATGAGATTAATTAGAGCCATACAGAAAACACATAATTTGTAATCATCGTTTCTAAGTAACTAAAAATAACGAAAAGGAACAAGTAAACTGTAGTAGATCATATTTTAATGAAAATGAGAGTGTTGTGTGAATTTCTCTTTAAACATATAATAACATTTAGCTTCTTCGATTAGGTAATGACATAACATAGAATCAGTAGATATTTAAATATTAATTAATTAATAGTTAGAACTAGCATTACATCACTTTGTACTGGATAAAAACATCAGTTAATTAATTTTACACCGGCTAAATTTCAATAACTCAAGAAGTATCACAAACACGTACATGACTCTTTCTAACGGAGATGTAATAACGTACATGACTTTTTCTAACGGAGATGTGACAACGTACATGACTCTTTCTAACGGAGATGTAACAACGTACATGACTCTTTCTAACAGAGATGTAACAACGTACATGACTCTTTCTAACAGAGATGCAATAACGTACATGACTCTTTCTAATGGAGATGTAACAACGTACATGACTCTTTCTAATGGAGATGTAACAACGTACATGACTCTTTCTAACAGACATGTAACACAAGTATAAACGAAATGCAGAGTCATTCACGACGTGTATTGAAGTAGATTATGTTTATTTTTCGTGTTACAATGAAATCGGGTCGTTTCTAAATGGAATAATGTATCAAACTCGATAGCATCCTTTAGACTTCTGAAAACATAAAAGATCCAGAAGCTGTGATTGTCAAAGAAAAAATCTGTAAGACACATAAAGATATAACGTTTAGTGTATGATATTTATTGTACTGCATAAATAGCTTAGAGAAGAGAGAGTTTGCTTTAGGAGGTATTTGTTTACACGTTCTGAGAGCCCCATAAGAGAAAAAGAGTGATTCATGAGCTTGCTAAAACTAAAAACATTCCAAGCTCAATTGTAGAATAAAAATCCTAAACAAGCTCGATAATACGTCGACTACATTGAAATTTCGTTTGTTTTTTTTCTACATAAATTTAAATCTACTTTTAGCATTTTTAGGATAAGAGTATCTACTAACTTCTGAAACATCTGTTGGAACATTTTTATCAATGTCTGTCTTAAAGAAAAATTACAAAATACACAAATATTATTGAGAATAGTTCCTGCTTCTATCGCCGTCTAGTGATAACCTTATTACTAGATAGATTATGAGAACTTGAGAAACAGTTAATAATACTTAGTGAATTTTAACCTTTAACGTTTATACACACACATCGGTGCTGAGAACTTGAAAAACAGTTAATAATACTTAGTTGCTTTTAGCCTTTAACGTTTATACACACATATCGGTGCTGAGAACTTGAAGAAAAGTTAATAATACTTAGTGGCTTTTAGCCTTTAACGTTTATACACACATATAGGTGCTGAGACAAGTACCAAAGTAATTTGTATTCAAACATATTCTAAACTGCTTGTTAAACCTTGTGTACGAATACTGTTTCTTCATCAACGCTGTTCCTTATATAGTATTTTGGAAATATCGTTTTAAAACTTTATTTTGTGCCCTGTTGTCATGTTCAATATATATCTATATATATTTGTTGCTTATATAAATACATAAAGCAATTTCAAGTTATTCTTGTAACTTAAGTCTGTAGAAGATATCCTACATCTTTGTATATCATAATGTTCGCTGGCGGATACCGTGTAGTGAAATAATGTATTGAGAGATGTAATTCGTCAATTCCTAGTAACTAAGAATTTAAATTAACAAGAATAGGTGGAGCTTGTTTTTTATCACTGTTTTCATCCACCAAAAAAATATATTTGCTCTTTTATTACGATATTATTCATCGATTTCTATAGAATAAATTAGTTCTAGTATTTCCTCAATATTTGCATGACTCTCACGCTCATTACTTCAGTAATAAATGGACTTCACTATTCTGTTAATCCAACTCTGGTTTAAACCTATTAACCAATAGAATTAAGCCAGAGTTAAACCTATTAACCAATAGAGTTAAGCCACAGTTAAAACCTATTAACGAACAGAATTAAGCCACAGTTAAAACCTATTAACCAACAGAGTTAAGCCACAGTTAAAACCTATTAACCAATAGAGTTAAGTCAGAGTTAAAACCTATTAATCAATAGAGTTAAGCTACAATTTAAACGCATTAACCAACAGAGTTAAGCCACAGTTAAAACCTATTAACCAATGGAGTTAAGCCACATGAGTAGAGTAGTGCAGTACATTTGTTATATTCACCTAATATCTGTTCTACTGACTTCAGCGACCGTTACAAATATTCACTCTAATTTAAAGAATCAATACCTCCAGTACTTATGTAATTCATACAGTATTTACTTTCAATACCTCCAAGACTCATGTAATTCATACAGTACTTACTTTCAATACCTCCAAGACGTATGAAATTCATATAGTACTTACTTTCAATCCCTTCAAGACTTATGTAATTCATACCGTACTTACTTTCAATACCTCCAAGACTCATGTAATTCATACGGTACTTACTTCCATTACATCCAAGACTTATGTAATTCATACAATACTTACTTTCAATACCTTCAAGACTTACGTAATTCATACAGTACTTACTTTCAATACCTTCAAGACTTATGTAATTCATACAGTACTTACTTTCAATACCTTCAAGACTTATGTAATTCATACAGTACTTATTTTGACTTATGTAATTCATACAGTACTTATTTTGACTTATGTAATTCATACAGTACTTACTTTCAATACCTCTAAGACTTATGTAATTCATACAGTACTTACTTTCAATACCTCCAAGACTTATGTAATTCATACAGTACTTACTTTCAATACCTCTAAGACTTATGTAATTCATACAGTACTTACTTTCAATACCTCTAAGACTTATGTAATTCATACAGTACTTACTTTTAATACCTTCAAGACTTATGTAATTCATACAGTACTTACTTTCAATACCTTCAAAACTTATGTAATTCATACAGTACTTACTTTCAATACCTTCAAG